GGGGAGGCGCGCGCTCGCACCTCGCGGCGAGATGAGCTAATCCCTTCACACGCGCCCCGAAAGTGCCGCGGTCCCGTCGTCCCCCCTAACACGCGGCCCGCGGGCCGGAGTCACGTCTCTTTCAAGTCCCGGAGCCCCGATCTCTGACAGGTCCCAGGAGTCCTAAAGAACAATGTCGCGTCCGCGGAGCAGGAAAGCGCGCGGCGTGAGGCGGCGGGCGACTCCGGGGAGGCGGCTCTGTGTGAGAGTGCAAAGGAGAAGCTCGGTCACCCTCCTCCCTCGTCTCCTCCTCTCCTTCCTCCTCCTCCTCCCTCGCCTCCACCGCCTCCTCCTCCGTCTCCTCCTCCTCCCGCAAGCACACCCCGTCTCCTAGGCCGCAGCATAGCAACCGAACATGGCGGCTGCGCAGCCGCCGGCCAGTCAGAGGCCCGGAACGGCGGCCTCAGCAACAGGAGGCGGTCTCGCGAGAGGTGAGGCCCCGCCCCCGCCCCCGCCCCCGCCCCTCCCACCCGGCTTGGGAGCGCCGGCGCCTGCTTAGGAGCGCAGGCACTCGCAGGTGCGAGGGAGGCGGGGCTTAGCGGGCTGGGAGGGGAGGGCGTGGCTCCGTGTCCACACCCCATAGCCAGGCCGGGATTGGCTCCTCGACTGTCAGCCCTGTCCCTCCTCCCTCTTCCCCGGAGTACCTACTGACTCCAGGGACACAAAAGAAGGGGACCGCGCAAAGTGGGGAAACTCGACCTCTTGGCTTCAGGTTGTCCCAACTGAGTGCTGATAGAGGGTAGAGGCTTTGAAGTGCAGTTTTCCATCATTTCTCCTCCTAAATAGAGGCTCTCGAAAACAAAGCCTAAGCAAAAGGCGTTCCTGGGTAAAACAAAGGATGGGTGCTTTCCATGTGCCAGGAACACTGCTTTTTAAAATCAACTTCGGTCATTCATTTTGAGAAGGAGAGTTGGTATTATCGTGCCAGGGCTTTGAGGGGGGTATACTCTAATGTTTTCTGGGTGACACAAACCTGCTGATGAAAGGACATTCCTATGGACTGGGTGACCCCCACTGAAATGAGGAAAGCATGAGCTTGAGAGTACCCTCGCATTTCCTCGGCCTCTTTTTTTTAGTTTTCCACATTTCTTTATTTTGTATATACCCAAAACATGATTGTGTGTGTGTGTGTGTGTGTGTGTAAGTCAGAGGACAAGGTTTGGAAGTTGGTAATCCCATGTGGGTCCCAGGGATTGAACCCAAGACTTGGTAGCAAATTCCTTTCCTTTACCCTTTGACCCATCTCGAAGGTCCTTGACTCTTTTTTTGCAAGGGTAGGGGGCAGTGTCAATGCCCTTTTCTATGGCAAGGCTTCTTGTTGGTTCTTGATTTTAATCTTTGTACCCCCCCACCCAGAGACTATCTTTATAAAAACTGTTTCTCTGGGTAGTGGTGGTGCATGCCTTTAATCCCAGCACTGGGAAGGCAGGTGCAGACAGATCTCTTGTGAGTTCGAGGCCAGCCTGGTCTACAGGACAAGCTTCAGGACAGCCTCATCTCAAAAAACCAAAATAATAATGATGATGATGATGATGATGATGATGATGATGTTTTTTCAGGGGTTGAGGAAAGAGCACTTGCCTAGTATACGCACAAGGCCCTGGGTTCCATCCCCAGCACCCAGTACCCAGCACCCACATGCTGCAAAGCTTATCTTTTCTCCATGTCAACAAAATGACTTTACCAATCAGGAAAATGTGTGCAAAACGTCGGAAAACAGCACTCTGCTCCTACTTTTTCTTGTCCAACTGGTGATGAGCATTAGGACACTTGGAAAGCTGAGGCAAGAAGATCAGGAGTTCAAGAACATCATTAGCTAGACAGTAAGTCCCCGGACAGCCTGGGCTATGTAAGACCCTGTCTCAGAATGCAGGAGGGACACAGCCATATCACTTCTAGCCTGTGCTCATTCATTCTTCCCTAAGTATGTGTTCTTTCCTCCAGCTCTCCATTTTGAAATCCTTAGTTCATGGTATTGCTAAAATGCTCCTTAGCTCACCTCTGTCAGGATCCCTTCAACAAAAGATCAAAGAGAATCCACCAGAGTTCAGCAGTAAGAAATAATTCCTTCCTTCTGCGACACAGATAGCTGTAGGTTTAAACATCCCTTTGGTGTTTTTCACGTGTTCATTTTCCTGCACAATACTTCATAGTCCATGATCTGATCACTGTAACTACCCAAGGCAAAATCCTTAGTCATCTCCGTAGCCCTCAGAATGCCCGAGGACACTGCCTGGCAGGGAAATAGAAGTCGGTGGAAAGAACAAAATGTTTGAATCACTAGTGGATAGAGTTTCAAAGAAATACAGAAATCGGGCCTGGAAAGAAAATCCAATCAGTAAAATGCTTGCTGTTCAAGCATAAGGCCCTGTGTTCAGATTCCCCAGGGCACCCATAAAAATCCAGGCACATTAGCCATTCCCAGGAGTACTGCCCTCACCACTGACTCTACCTCAGAACTATCACTACTGATTATCGCTACCCCCAAAAGGAATCCCATGCCTGCTGCTCATTCTCTAGTTTCTCCTCCCCAAACCTTTACCAGGCCATAATCTGTTCTCTGTCTCTTATGTATTTGCCTACCCATAAACAGAGGAACTTCCTGAAGGGAGCCTCCGCAGTGGAAGTCACCTAGATGGGCCTTTTGAAGTTACCAATACTTACAAGCATTCCTAGAGAATTCTAGGTTCATCTTAAAACTGCCTTCCTGCAGCCCTGGAAAAGAAGGAGCAAGTAATTGTCAAAGAGATGAAAAAGAAAAGGAGGAGAACGGAGTTGCTTTACAGGCTGTGTGCTCAGTCAGTAGAGCGCTTGCCTTACGTTCATGAAACCCTGGGTTTGATCCTCAGCAGCAAAAAAAAAAAAAAAAAACCGAAACAAAACAGAACCAAAACCCACATGAAATTCCAGCACTCAAGAAATGGAAGTAGGAGGATCAGAAATTCAAAGTGATTTTCAGCTACATAATGAATCTGAGGCTAGCCTGGGCAACACAAGACCCTGTCTCCCACCCCCACACACAAAAAAAAAATAAAGAAAAAGAAAAAAACCTTTCATCCATGTCCCATGTTTATATTTGCTCAATGAGGAATTTAATCTGAATAGCCATCACCTAGACATCTTGTTTAAAGTGGAGGTTCTAGGCTGGCAAGATGCCTCAACAGGTAAAGACACTTGATACCAAACTTAATGACCTGAGTCCAGTCCCAGGAGCCTCATGGTGAAAGGAAAGAACAGATTCCTGACAGTTGACATCTGACATCCACGGGCCTGCCACAACACATGCACATCACAGCACATGTGTACAGGAACATGCACACACAACACATTCTAAAGTGCAAAAACAATTAGTAAGAAGCTGGTTCTAATCCACTATATTTGGGGTGGGATCAGAGACTCCAGGGCCCTGTATGAACTTGGCAGATGAAATGCTCCTGTACTTGCAAATTCTATAAAAAAAAAATACATTTATGCTCTTATTTTAATTATATCCTTTAAAATATTTAATATATTTCAATGCCTATTCTGACCCATCTAATGATAACCTTGCAACCAAACGCTGCACTTGACTTTACATCTGACCCTAGTTACAACCGCAGCAGTGAGTTTCACACTCTTAACCCTAAGAGACAATTTAATTTCAGGAAAACATTACCTATCATGTTACATACATAATATTAATAAAACTTTACATTTTTGGTTCATTTTGTATACTGCTTACATTTTACAGATATAGGAACCTTGTGAATAAGGATTTCATTCCTAATCTAATACTATACACCTGAGAAACTTAATTAAGGTAATTAAACAGTTGGGAGTTAGCAAGACTTCTTCCTTTCAACTTAGAACTGGCAAACACTGCTGGATGTTGGCAGCCACCGCTCCTGACTGTGATGTTTTCCTGTGTCTGCAGTCTGCCCTTGGCTCTGTTTCGAGGGGTTAAGAGCAAGGGCTCTGTCCGCACTTGGAAGCGGTTGGCAGGCAAGAATGACTGGGCCTTTTAGACTTAGTGGCTGATGGCAGAACTTCTAACCCTGGGTAGCCAGGCCCTGGAGGGAACAGGCGTTTGTTCTCTCCTGTACAGCCCAGCCCAGCCCAGCCACCCGGGCCTTGGCAGTGGCTCCATGCAACAACAGGGCAGGAGAGACTTTGACTGATTACAGCTGACTCGTAAGCTCCCCTACCATCAATAACTGGGAAGGATCCCTTTGAAATAAATGAGCAACCCGACACTGCGTCACAAATTCAAGCCCTAACTTCTGAACTACAGAGTGAATTCAAGGCCAGGCTGAGAAACTTAGTGAGACCCTATCTCAGAATAAAAATTATATGTGTGTGTGTGTAAAGAAGACTGGGCTGCTGACATGGTTACGTGGGTCAAGGTGCTTGCCACCAAGTCTGCTGACTTGAGTTCTAGCCTAGAAGCCACATGGTAGAAGCAGAAAACGTACTCTTACAACTTGCCCTCTGACCTCTACACATGCTGTGGCACAAAATTGCACCACACACAAAATACATGTAATAAAAACACTGCTGATGTTGAAGTGCTTGCTTAGCATGAACGGAGCCCTAGATTTGATTTCCAGTACCAGGAGAGGCAGAGACAAAGACAAGACAGAAACACCTTGGGGTCAATGAGGACATCCAAGGAGGTGATGCTCGAGGAAAATTAGACTCCATTTGCTAGGAACAGCTCAAGGTGACATGAGTTTTAACGTTAAAACATACCCGTGTTAAGAATGACTTAATTCTCTTGTCTAAACTTCTGAGGTGAGGCATACAAGGTACATGAACTTTCAGGGCTTGGAGTAAAGCCCTCAGTAAAGTACTTTCCTTCCAAATGTGAAGACCTGAGTTTGATCTCCAAAACCCACATAAAAATGCTAGGGATGGTGGCCCATGCTTATAATCCTAGCATTGACAGGCAGATCCCTAAGGTTTGCTGGCCAGATCCAACGAAAGGCACTATGGCAGATGGCTTTCTTGAGTATGGTTGTCACATGAACACACACACACACACACACACACACACACACACACACACACACACGGCAAGGTATACAGACTTTCAAATGATTATGAGTAGGGGACCTCATAATCATAGTCTGGCAAGGGACCTCAGTTGTTGGGTGCTGATAATCTCAGCTCTGGGGATCTGGAGACAGCAGGAGCCCTGGGACTCACTGGCCGGCCAGCCTCGCCTACTTGGCAAGTCTCAGGCCCCAGTGAAAGATCTTGTCTCACAAAGAAAGCTGACAGCTGCTGTAAGGAAAAACACCCAAAGGCCTCGGGACTCTACACGCATATATATTTCTTACACCCGGGCCACTCCTTAAAAATGAGCACTATTAATAGTTCTTGTGCAAGTTTCTAGAATGCGTTTTGTGTTGCTACGAGGTAAACATTGTATATCTCTTTCCCGTGGATACAAGAGGTCATACTGCGTATGTTGTATTTCATTTCTTTAGATGTGTGGGAGAGCCAAGGAAGTGGCTCAGTAGATAACGCCCTTGCTAAGCGAGCATGAAAAGCAGACTTTGGATCCCCCAACATCCATGTAAATTCTGGGTGGGTGTGGAGGCCCCTCTCTGAGGCAGGATCCGGGCAAGCTGGCAAGCTAGACTAGCCCAAATGAGCTGACTTTGGGTCCAGTTGGAAGACTGCTGCACCTAAGAGACAGTCCTCTAGGCAGATCTGTGAGAGACTTTTTTTTTTCCTTTCTTTTTTTGGTTGCTTTTGTTTTTGTTTGTTTGTTTGTTTGTTTGCCTGTTTTTCGAGACAGGATTTCTTTGCATAGCCCTGGCTGTCTTGGAACTCGCTCTGTAGAACAGGCTGATCTAGAACTCAGAGATCTACCTGCCTCTGCCCCCCTCTCCCCGCAGTGGTGGGATTAAAGGTGTGGCCCACTACACTTGCTTGAGAGGGGTTTCTATACTGGATTAATTAAATTGTGAAAACCCATCCTAGGAATATGTGGCACCACTCCATGGGCTGGTGAGCCAAACTGATAAAAAGGAGAACAAGCTGAGCTTCTGATTGCATTGGGTCCAGCCAGGTGGTCCAGGATAAGACCCATATCTCAAAGTCTTTAATTACATCTACAAAGTCCTTTTTGCTGTGTAATGCCACATAGTCACAGGTTCTGATGAGTAGGCACTTTGGTGTCCGTTAATTTGTGTGCCAGGGTCTTCACTGCCAGTCAGTTTGGGGCCATTATAGTAAGTTTAAATATTGGAGAAGGTTAATGACTTTCCAAGATAAACATTGTAAACTTATTTTCAGCTGGGTGGTGGTGGCGCATACCTTTAATCCCAACACTTGGGAGGCACAGCCAGGCGGATCTCTGTGTGTTTGAGGCCAGCCTGGTCTACAGAGCAAGATCCAGGACAGGCACCAAAACAAAACAAAAAATAAAAAATAATAAAAAACAATAATAATAAAATTATTTTCGATCATGTGACTGTATCTGTATGTATGTGCACATCAGTGCAGTTGCCTGTGGAGTCCAGAAGAGGGTGTCATATCTTCTGGAGTTGGAGTTTCAGGGGGTTGTGAGCAGCTGGATGTGGGTGCTGGGAAATGAACTTGGATCCTCTCTAAGAGTAGTACATGCTCTTAACCATTGAGCCTTCTCAGAGCTCCAAGATGAACATATATTTAATTATATGATTTTTAAAATATGGGAACCTCAGATTGTGACTGAAAAATTAAATAACATCAACAGCCTAGTGTAAGATTATTATCTGCCCCCAAATGTAAATACAATGTGTGTAGATACATTTATTCATTAGACACTAATTTGCTAATGATAAGTCACTTAACCTTTATCTGAGTCTTTATAATTAAACATTAATACAAATAGTCCTCATAATCACTGCTCATTTTAAAAATCCCATATTATTCACTGCTTTCTAGATATTGGGAGTATAGATAAGAGGTGACCCTGTCCTCCAGACAAGTTGTCTTAGTGTTCTATTGTTGTGAAGAGACACCATGACCACAGGAACTCTTGTAAAGGAAAGCATTTAATTGGGGCTGGCTTACAGTTTCAGAGGTTTAGTCCATTGCCTTCATTTTGGGAAGCATGGAAGCACCTAGGCAGACATGATGCTGAAGAAGTAGTTTGAGAGTTCTATACCTAGAGCCTCAGGCAGCAGGAAGAGAGAGACATGGGCCTGGCTTGAGATTTTGAAACTCCAAAGCCCATCCCCAGTGACACATTTCCTCCAACAAGACCACACCTCCTAATCCCTCTCAAGTAGTACCACTCCCTGATGACCACATATTTAAATATGTGAGCCTTATGGGGGCCATTCCTATTCAAACCACCACGCAAATATTTTCCTTTTTTGTTTGTTTGCTTTTTGTTTTCTGAGACAGGGCCTCACTGTATATCTCTGGCTGTCCTAGAACTCACTGTGTAGACTGGGCTAGCCTCAAACTCACAGAGTCCCACCTGCTTCTGCCTCCCAAGTGCAGGAATTAAAGGTATGCACCACTATGCCCAGCATATTTTCAATTTTTAAGATTGTGACTTATTAGTGGATAGTGGGATCAATTTGGAGAATTATGACCCGTATTTTGAAAAAAAAATGAAATAAACTAGAATAGACAAGAACATCTTGGGGTGTGTTATACATATGATAAGCACTGTGGAACTTCATAGGGTGCTATGTAAAATTTCTTTCCTTCCTTCCTTCTTCCCTGCTCTCTCTCTCTCTCTCTCTCTCTGTCTCTCTCTGTCTCTCTCTCTCTGTCTCTCTCTCTCTGTCTCTCTCTCTCTCTGTGTGTGTGTGTGTGTGTATGTGTGTGTGTGTATGTGTGTGTGTCAGGGAGGAATGTGAGGGTGTCCCCTTGAAGGGAGTATAACAGACAGAGGTTTGGAGATGGCTC